GAAACTCGAGCGCTCAACATGCAGGATTTTTTTTTTTTTTTTTGGGAGCATTCTCATTATAATGGGGATTAAGTAATAAAAATAGAAAAGTTAAATATTAACATAATTATCTTAGAAATAAAATAAAAATTAATTAACATATCCATCTTAAATATTATAAAGATACCGACTGTAATTTATAAAAGAATATAAACTTTTATCGTCCATAACTACCCCGTTCTCAGTTATCAGCAAACAAATCACTACGGGCGATTGCTGAAAATAATATCGACGATATTATCATATATAGTTGTTGACAACATCATCGATAATAATCTCCCAATATGATGTAATGTGTCGGTAACATGTCTGCATGCACCACTTGACATTTCTTTGTTAGTAATGAGTCTCGACATTTCGACGAAGTGTCTGACTATACAAAATAAAAAAATAATTTGAAAATGCCACTATGTTCGATATCATGTCCGACGTGTTGGAAATTTGTCATGACATGTTCAACTGAACAAAGTTAAAAAATAATTTGGATACACAATTGTAGTTTTTTATGTGTATGCATTGTGTCCCTATATCGACAACTTGCCTAATTGTTCAATAAAAAATAATATCACCATATTAAATTTCGGAAACACTATCAATTTAAAAAATACAAATGGATTTTCTTTTAATAATATTAAAAAAATTATAAATTTAATTTAATGAAGTTCCATCAATAACCAAGAAACTAAACTTTATTCTTTATAAGAGCCGACTAAAGGCTAATATGGTAAGATTTTTACTTTTACTTTTGTTTTCTGTAAAAAAACTTTTGGAGGAATCTGTCTTAATTTTGTTTGCAAACTAATTTTTAAAAACACTTCAAATGCTGAAACTACTTTTAAAGAAAGCTACATTAGACTAGCTTCATCCAAAAGTTGTTCTAACTACCAAAAACATTTTCATAAAATCAAATGGATCCTAAGTGGATTCTTTTTCTTCATTCTATTTTTAGTTCATTAGTACATACTACAGTTGCTAGAAGACCAATAAAACTCCATCCTTCAAAAAGAATATGTGGGTGTTTGGTGGGAATTAAAATTAAATTTTTAGTAGATCGTGATAGAAGTTTTTGAAATTTGCGGTCGAAAAGCCGTGAGACCCATGAAAGATGTAGTTAATATTGATTGTTTGATTTAGGCTTAGATTAAAATCTGATTTTAAACAGAAACAAACCAATGTCACTTAATTTTTGCCGTTCTTATAGATTGAGCTACATAGATTATTTCATCAATCTTGCAAATAAGTGATTCTTCAAATGAATACAATATATGTTCCAACTTTTTCCTTAATTTATCATCATCAACATCGTATCAATTCATTAACGTATTTTATTCATTTTAGTATGAACATACCTTGACAACCCCATCTCCAATACATATATCTTATGAGAATAATGCT